CAACATGTCGTACATATTTTTGTGCTCGTGATGTATCACGACTTATTATTTCTCATCAACAATCGGACTAAGATCCGTTGTATTTAACAGCTAACATCAGAAAATGTGCTTCATTTGTGATATCAATCGGTCTTCGCCTTTCTCCTACCCAACTTTCGTGTACACTTGAACAATTCTTCAAGCACACAAATATATATATATATATATATATATATATATATATATATATATATATATATATATATATATATATATATATATATATATATATATACGCACATACAATATGCTTTGCCCTGCCGTCTTCCCGTACTTCAAACGATTTGCTCTTGATATTTTTTGTTACCTCAGTAAATATTGAGTAAAAACTGGTTTCTTTATCGCCTCCCTTTCTATTGTTAGGGTGTTTTTTTGGTCACTCGTGTTTTTTGGTTTCTTATTCTGTTCCTAATTTTTATAATTCCTAACTTGTGTGTAGTGTATAGTGGATTAAACAAGTTGTGTATAATAAATTGGTTACAAAAACACTTCAGGTTTCTTTGTCTAGCAAAATGAACAGTTTTTGTTTGTCTGTATCGGCTAGTTATTTTTTTATCATTGGAGGGATTTTGTGGAGTCTGATTTAATTTTTAGGTTGTATTTGTTATAGATTGATTTCAGTTGATGTATTATGAGAACCATGGAGCACTGAGTAACTGTTTTTTCCTGGCATGGGACTCATTAGGAGTCGAATCCAGAACCTTCAGGTTTGGATCCCATACTAAGCCAAAATAGCTGCCTATTGCTTCCTAACTTTCAGTGGTATTCCAATTGAGATTAGTGTACAATATAAACGACCTATAAATTATTATTTTTTCAAAGAAAAATGCTTGTGAATATTGTTTATATTGAAGTCAGTTTCCATTACAAACAAGGATTCCAGGATTTCTAGTGAGAAAGTGTATTCATTAAATGGAATGTAACAGTAAGACAAATATCACCTATGTCATTTAGATAACACTGGATCTGTATTACGAATCAACTGGATTTAGAAATATTTACCATTTCGAATTGTGAACTTAGTGGTTTTAATGCACTGTGCTCTTCAAGATATTAGAAAGTTTTATATTCGACGATGTTTAAGGTCTCGAAATTGCTCTGCTGAAGTGTTTCAAAATTAGGACAACACAATCCTCAAACCATTCTGTTCTCCTGTTGATAAATACTGATCGTTATCTGTTAGTTCAAAATAATCAATTAGAGTTATAATAAATAATAAAATGATTCTCGTAATAAGTGGAGATCAATCTATTAAACATTAGGAACCACTGAATATATACGTTTCTCTACTGTGCGAAAAATCTGTCTTGCACTTCTATAAATTCCCTTGGCTTGAAATCTTCGAACTTTCAATTTTAAGCAGTATATACATCGATCTTTGAATTGTTCACGAAATGGAATTTTCACTGATTAATTTTTTGTATCATGACTTAAATTCTAGTGTTATATATGTGTTACAAGGCATCTTATTAACTATAAGTTACTTGCTTAATTAAGATTTCAGATGATTGTTATAAAATGAGATAACATATGTCAAGATCGAAGAAACAGTGTTTATATAAGAATAGTTATCAACATTATGATAAATTAATTAATATTCATTAACTATATCAAATTCAACAATCACAGGAAATACATCGAAATGAGAAGACTGTACATACAAAGTATAGAAATGATTACAAATAACCAAATGTCTACTGTACACAAAAAAATGAACACAAACTATCAGTAACAATAAGAAAATACAATTATAGTAATAAGTGAATTGAATATCATGGATTCTTGTATATGCTTACAACTACGATACATAATGATGAAGAAACATGATAAGCTATATATTTTATATAAACCTTTGTCGAAATTTAAGTATATAGCTTGATAGGAATTAGACCGAAATTAAAATTATATTTGAAATAATCTCATCCAAATAAAATTCAAATGATTTCAACGTCTTACTTAGCAAACTGAATTGAATTCATCAGTCAATTAAAGCTAAACCACCATGAAAAACCTTGAAGCGCTGGGCTCAGCAGTACGCATCCACTATCCTGCTCCCGGGATTCGAACCCAGGACTTATCGGTGTCGCGCACGAACGCCTAATCTCTAGCCCACTGAATCGGCATCCAACAGTGTTAATGTCTAACTCCAAGCAATCCACGAAATCGCGCTACCGTCCACCATTATCTTCTGTGAGTTATTATCTCACAACAGACCCGATTGATCTCTACTGGTTACGGCTTCTCACTAGAACTCCAGGAAATATATCTTGGAGACAGTCACTAGTACTGAGGAGTCCCATAGTAGGACGAAACGATCGTCCAGTGCTTCCAGGTTTTCCATGGTGGTCTAGCTTTAATTGACTCATGAATTCAACTATTAAATTATGTAATATTCGCAAAACCCCTCTCTGATTGTAAACTGGTTTTAGTTTCCTTTAGGGAACTAACCAAAACCAACGTTGACATTCTGTCAACGAAGTTATTTAAAATAAATGTTTTTGGATACTAATACGCTATATATGTCCAAAATGATTGATTTTAACCAAATAATACTTTTAAAATAATACTGGTGGGCTGTTTTTCAACTATTATTCATTTTTTTAAAAGTCTTATTGCATTATTATATTATTAACGTTCGCTAGTAGGAACTTGTTTTTTGTATCCGTAATGAAATCAGCTTTCTCGTCTGGTCGTCTCTATGCGCATTTACCAGTCTACCTTCTGTTTATACAATCTGTGAAAAAATTCCTAGATTACTTCGTACCCAACTCCTTAAAACAACATGAACTATTGCTATCCATGAGTTAAAGCCGAAACTATGTGTACGAATGAAGTACGTCATATCCTTATCGTTACATTGGCCTTAAATTATTATTTTTATAATTGTTATATTTCATATTTTAAAATATATTCCTCTCTCTCTATTTTTAATTCTGTCTCATTTCCTCATGATTTTATTCACAAATCTTTCTAATATCATTTCATTTTATTCTGCACTTATATTATCTTTAATTCTATTAACAAATACATTTTGATAATCTTACTTCATACACATTATAATCCGTTGCTAACTTATCAATTTTATAAGCCTTTCTATTTGCACACGCACAATCTTTTATTGTTATCATTCATATTACGTAATCTAGTATTATAATCTTTCTATTACGTCATCATGTTTATTCCTTGTTCATATATATATATATATATATATATATATATATATATATATATATATATATATATATATATACGATTGTACAGCTTGGTAATAAATTCGTTGAAAAGAGATCCCTTTACTGAATTTCGTGTTTTTAATGTTTAAATAAGAATTCTGCATCAAATTACAATCAATTTTTGTTTCGTATTAAAAATGTTATTTATTTATTCATTTGAACACGAATACTAGTACAAGGGGACACCAAATACATATGCGCCACACAAATCTCATTTGATTTGTGTGAAGGCTGTGATACTGCCTGGGGGCCCAAACCGAAGCAGATGGTTTTCTTAGGGGGCCACATCCGGAGCGTTTGACCTAAAATCTGATCCGTAAGGCGGTGGAGCAATGTAAGGAGATGCAGTCACATGGTAGTCAGTGACCAACGAATGGTTCATACGCCATTTGTTCTCACAGGATCCTGGAGCCCATATTCAACAATGGTTTGGAGTCAGGGTTTTTCAACTCCCCTAGGTGGACTCTCCATATCCACCAACCCGGTTAAAGCGCCGGACATTCGCTTTTCCTCCTCTCAATTCCGTAAACAACACCCCCGCCACGCGAAGGCAGTGAGTAGGATTTCGCTGGCAGAGGCTATATACGTGTGGCTATGTGAGAGCATTTCGAGAGGGTGAGCGGACTCCCCCCACTCTCGGCTGTTTCAGGGCATTTGGGGGCAGATTTACTAAATGTTGTGATCCTATATCTTATTTGTGAAGTTGAATGAATCATAAATAGCAATCAAATAAAATTTCTAGCCACTACTGATCTTGTGTACTACCGGTTCTTTTTGTAAAATTGAACAAGAATTTATATATATATATATATATATATATATATATATATATATATATATATATATATATATATATGTCTGTATCGATATACATGGAGGCTGTTAAAATCAGAGTCATGGAAATGAGGAATCTGTTGTTTGCTCAATGGATAACATACACTTAAAACGTTACTGTCTTAAATTAGTTTGGGTTAAAGTTACTCAAAGAATCATTTTTAATGGACGACAAATTTTTCTTCCTCAGAATTTTCTCATATTGACTTACTTGAAAGTTATCAACTGCAATTAATAAATTCAGTCTAGAAAACAGCGATGTGCTAAAATCATTCATATGAATGATTTCAAAAATCTGTTTATCTAGTCTTCCGGTTAAACACAGTTATAATGTAAGGATGTTTCATTTCCTTACAAAATTGACATGTTTTTGATACAGTCCTCAAGAACCCTAAGTTGTTTCAACGGTATTCGGTTAGTAAAATAAAATTTAATCTTGTTAATAAATGACAATCTATTTTGTTTATCATTTATCAACCAGTTTATTAGACGTAGTTCCCATTAGAAATGGGAAAGTTCATTCACTAAATTTTATTCTTTTAGTTCAACCGTTACACGAGTGTACTCAGAAATATAAACCGACCTGTTTGAATCCTAAAAGAACATTAAAGTTGAGCACATTTAAAATGTCAGAATGTAGGTTTTTTTAGCTGATTCTTTTTTTTTACTTTCATGCCGAATATCTTTGTGAAATATATTTCTCAGGGACTTTGAATAGTTCTGACAACTTTATAGATCATAGTGGTGTTTAATTTCCCTCTAATGTAAAAGTGCGGTTATCATTTTCTTCCTAGCTTTACTATTTTTCCTAATTTATTTCTATCCTTCTTAGGCTATCACAGACTGTAATTTCATAGTAAACACTATAATCTATTATCTCTATTCATTTTGTAGACTCGAAAACTATTTTCGTCTTAATACCGAACTGAATGGGTGCAGAACAAAGTGTTAGTCAGCAGAAGTCACATAATTTCACAAGAGATTCTCAGCTAAATTCTTTCCAGTCAGCAAAAAGATCTGGTAAGTATGATTGCTCTAAATAAATTGTAACTAATTAGAATCTCTCTAACTCGATCTATTATCCTGGTTTTTCCTTTTATGACATAATACAATACATATTTTTCAAATAATCATTTTTCAAGTGGATATACGTATATATATGTTACTCTAAGACGACTCTGTGGGGCTAGCTTCAGTCATAATACTCCTTTATTATGAAGCAAACATGAATTTACTGACCAGTAATGATATAAAATCCTTTAAAAGTGTGAATTCAAAGATAACTGTCTCTTTCTGTTCGATACCAATAGTTTTATGTTTAATTCCAGATTACTGAAAAACCTGAATGAAATTACAAATTCATATGTGTTTACATGAAAAAAAAGAATTAATTGGTTAGATAATCTAAAATTGATCATCTACGAACATAAATAGCCAATTTAAATTGTATATTCACTGCAGATATATATCAAGTATATGGCCACATTCAACCATCTTGTGAGTAACATCTTGACATTTGAATACCGAGAAAGAATAAAAGATTGGTGGTAGGCGTAGCTTCTACCTTAACGTGGTTATCGGACATGCATGTCAAGATGACCCAATCGAGCTAAATTAAACCAAACACTTATTCTTTTATGTTTTTTTCCATTGAAATTTTGTCGTTTTGACTCGTTCACTGACCTCTCATCCTTTTAACTTCCGTTCTTGCTATGCTGTAGTGAAATATACCAATTTGGACTGATACACATCTATCTCAATTTATATATTGTTTATTATAACTAACTAACTAGATCTTATTTCACTTTGAAGTTAATTCCTTTTATGGATGTGCTGATCTGTTGTCCTTAGGTCATTCTTCATCTCTGCCTTCTTCGCCTCGATATGATTGGCGTCGTTCATCATTATCGGGACTTGTTAGTACCTCGTATTTGGAAAACACTAACAATAGTCGCAATCATGGTAGCTTTCAAATTTCTTCTAAGCAAAAACACCAACAACGAAGTTCTGTATCTAGTCTACCAAAAGATACTTTTGCTTCATCATCAACTGAGCTGGGTTTAGATATATGTCAAAGATCGTCTTCGACTAAATCGTTAAATTACTCCTCATTTGACAAGTTATCCTCAACGACTAATCGCAAACAAGCTGATGTCGGCATACTAATTGTCAATCGTGGTCGTCAAACTTCAAGTCATTATGATTTAAGTGGCAGTAGAGATAGTTGCAACAATCATACAGAATTAGGTCGAGTTATATTGAAAAAACTTCAACGGATTTCTACATTTGAACCACTTTTGCCTACCATGAAAGTACAGTATCATTCGTCAATGGCAGCAACAATAGCGAATCAACCATATGCATCAACTTCTCAATCGATTCCACCATTATCGTCGTCAATGTCAACAGCATTTAAAAAGAGACAACTTATTCCACATCTTCCAGAGTTTGATTTTGAAGCGGTAATCTGAGAAATATTTATGAATTTCTTGAAAATAATTGTTATAAATGTGCAGACATATAATTTAATATTAATATATGAATGAATTTCATCTTCACGTAGGTATGGTTGATGATGGTTTTACGACTTGCCAAGTAGAAAGATTGTTGTTAGATTTACTGGGTTTGATTAAAATAAAATACAATCGTCTTAGTTATGTGTAACATTTCTATTTGAATATTTATAAACACTGGAGAAGATTTGGTGCTCAGGTAGATGATTTACGTAGTTTTTTTCTCTGGGCTGGATGGTTTGGTCTTGGAACTTTCATTGTTCTTCTGAACAATATCATCAGCAAAAAGTGCAAGTAGAAATGAAGTGTTTGGATTTCTCTACATATGACTCACAGTTTGTCCTGCGCCCTTGATTTTGATTGGTTATTGTCGACCCTTAACCTTTGATTGTCTTCTACTTTATTTAGCAACATTGAGGTTGGATATAGGGTACATGGTGAAAATGAAAAATTGGTTAGTGTGGTTCTGAACCGTCATTAATTGATGTGGTTGGAATGTGTATTATGTATGGCTAACTACCGCCTACCTCAACGGGTGGTGTATAGTGTAGGAGTAAGCTAACAGAAAGCTGGAGGCGGTGAAACCAAGACATGAGATCAGTTCACCAAGTGATTGTTGAACTGAGTCATCCTCGTAGTTGCAGACTACCTTGTTGGGATCCACATAATTGTCGTAATCAGTGTTTGGGGATATTAGGTGAAATGACTGAGAACCGATCGAAATTCGACAGTTGAGTTCATTCTCCGTCTCCTTTTAGATCTCACGTTTCAAAATCTTATATTTTTTGTTTCACGAATTCATTCTTCTTGAATTTTATTGTCTGTGCTTAGGTTTTCTTACTATCACTATTAATCTAACATCTCGTTATGCTGATGAGATGTGGGGCGACCTGAAGCGATGCATAAATGTACCACGCCGTACGTTACGTATGACTGACTGACAAATTGATCACTTCTTCAAACTGTTGTCCATGCACCGCTTAAAAGATGAAAATAATCCTATAGTTTGGAATATATTTCCGATCTTGATGAATCTTAAATTGCTGCTTTTTCACCAACTAATACAGTCGGGAACTTATGGATTGATTACTAAGTATCGCTATGGTGTTGTCTCACACTCACACTGTTACATACAACCAGTCGTAAGACCTTTGCAGAATAGATGTAACATACTTACCAGTGGAATCCAGAACAGACATTTCGTTTTATTCAAAACTCATCACCCAGATGTACCTGAATTCCAAAGTTGATGTTCACTCCGGAATTCGGATACAATACCTTTCATTTTAAACGTTGGACATATCTGCTTGGCTACCGATTTCAGAACGTCATTAACGTGCGCAACAACTTCAAATTTTAATTCAGTTCATAGTCGACAACAAAATAATCCAAATGATTGCAAATTGAATTGAGTAAGACCTTTATATTTTGCGATAAACAACTGGCAAACAATTATCTTCGCTATTCATTTTTATTCTTTTCACTATCAACCTTTTTGTAACTTTTTTACACAACGCGATATCCCTTAATGTTTTAAGTGGATTGTAGTCAAAATACTGTTCATTATTTTCTTGCTTTTTTATTCATTAGTCTTTTCTCTGTTCTTTCTCTTACAAAACAGTTGGTGAAAATGTCATCAGTCTATGAGCAATATTTGCATAAATATACTACTGAATTGTCACAAAAACAATCTGATCTGATCATTATAGAAAATAAAGTGAGTATACATACTTTTTTCTATTATTTTCGACTATATTAGTCTTTTATTGTTTTTCGCATTGTTAATATGTTTACAGTCGATGTTTTTGATAATGTATTAGCTCTACGTTTTACTGTCGTCTTATTGAGATACATATGCATACACTTTCTGTATGCTTACTTCAACTTGATATCCAAACGAAAAGACAAAGAAGTAATCAACAGGCTTCTTTTAGCTACCTGAATAAGATATACATAATTCATGAGTTTACATACATGTCTTTTTTGCCTAGTCAACAACATGCAAACCAAGACCTTAACTAGGTTCATAATCAGTATCCTTTAGTTGTGTACCGTGTGTACAATCATTCACCTATCGTTTGACCTTAAGATTCGTGATATATCTAAACTCAACTTATTAACTAGTCAATCATGTTGGGTAATTTATTCAAATAAAGATTTCAAAATTTACTGTTGATAAATAATTGATCACTCGTAATAATAAGTTTATAATCTGAGACTATCTTTTTCGTATACATTGATGAAATCCCATTCGTAACTCTTCAAGATTATCGACTGTCAGAAAATTGATCTGAAATATAATAAATAGTTATTGATACCTCTTTGATAAAGGGCAACGATCATCTCATACTATGAATAACAATTGTTTCACTGTGGATATTTCTGGATGATTGTTGCTCCGTAATACTAAATTGATGTAGGCTGTAAAAACAGGGTAATCCAATGATCAAATGGCCGACTGAATAGGACCCTGGTGCATAATGTTATTCTAGTTGAGAATAATCTGTAATGGATACAATCAAATTAGTTTTTTATTTACCCTTTGTAGTTATTTAACGAAAAAATTAATTTGTAACATGAATTTCTTTTCTTTACTTTATTTTTTTTCCCAACAGATTGATCGAGATATTTCACAACTTGTTGAAACACTTCAGGCACGTGAGAAAGGTATCAACAATAATCAACATTCCATTAGTTCAATATTTCAAAGTCCTTTCAATAGTCCAAAGAAAGTTAATACAACTACAAATTCAATAAATGACTCGACGAAATTATCCGGATCTCAACAAATTGAAAATATTGTTTTATTAACTAGTCAAATTTCATGTTTATTAACACAATGCGATGAATTGAGTAAACAGTTAATGAATTCAATAAATAATTTAAACGAATTATTACCTGAATAAGATGTAATTAGGTCTAATGCAGAACACTATTTAAGCATACAAATTCCATATTCTTTAAGTATTGATAATTTACAAGTGATTTCGGCGAGACTATAATTTATGGACGAGCCAATCAGATTTAGGATGAGAGGTCTTGTATTTTGACGCGAAATTCATTCACCCAATTGTCTAAATAGTGTCCTGGCATTTTGGCTGATGTCAGTTCGTGGTGAAAACCTGAAATCTAATTCCTAACCCTAACTATCAACTGTAAATATTAATCCTAATTCCTCACACTGCTTTATAACCCTCATATAGCCGTAGTATGTAAGTGAACATTTTCAAGGTTTCTTCAGCATCGCTCAAAGGTCGTCCATAAAGTATAGTCTTACCGTAATTTCTTTTCGATATAAACAAAACAAACAAACTTGTAAATAACTAGTACTATATGATTGATTCGTTTAATAAAAATGGTTATTTTCAATTGAATTGAAGTGTTATAAACGGGGTTATTTTAAAATTTGTGTCAAGCAGTTAGAAATGATTGAAAACGGGATGAATGATCTTGACTTGAGTTGTCTGTGCGTGAGACCGAATATCTTGGTTTTGTTTCCTGGTTGGGGTGTCGTGGATGGTCAGTAATGAGGAGTTTCTTTCTAGGGTGAATCAGACCTTCAGTGTTTCTTGATTGGTTGTCTAACCGAAACCATTCTGTGGTTTAAGCCGTGAAAATAAGAAAATACAAGAAAAGGAATAAATCCGGATTACTCATAAGTAGTATCGTTGTAAAAATCTGTTTAGTTTAAAGACAACCTGGCTTCCTAGCTATTTCCACAACACTAGCCTATTTTTGTTTTTGCATCAAATAAGTGTAAAGAAGCACAATGTAAGTTCTGGGTAGCATATCAAATACGGTACATTAGAGACAATTATCCGAACTAAATGTGACACAGTTTTCAGCTTATTAAGTGTTTCTGAGATCCTTCTGCTCGTGTGCTCAGTAGATGAAATATTTCCAGGCGTTTAAAGAGGCTCCAGAAATTTTGACAAGTCTGTTTTCGTACTATCGTGTTAATTGGAAACCAATATGAAATTTTGTGTAATCTCCAGAAAAAGGTATAACTACCAGTTTTGCTAGGTGAATTCGATGGGTTCGTTTACCAACCTACCACATTAGTTAAAGACATAATTTGCCTTACTAAGCTATTCATACTGCAGAATTGTTATACGAAAGTAAATGATCTAGTACATATTACCTTAAGTAGATAACTTGACATCTGATACGAAAACATTACTACTAAAAAGAAAATACGTGTTTCTGCACATCAAAAACATTGTTTTATCTTTCTCAGGTAAATTAAAATGATCAGCTCAAAGATCAACGGTCAAACATTGTGAAATCAAAATGTCGGCCGCCAAGGATTGAATCCGCACAATTAGCGTAGCTTTAAAATACTCAAAATTCTCGTTAAAGTAGAGAATAAAATATAAATCTAGGACGAGCAACTCAATGAAATATGCAGTCGAGAGTTAATTTGACTGACTTATACATAAGCTGTATCGTCGTTATGCGCCTGTACAAAATGTACATAATACTATACATAGAAGGATCTAACATCGACTATCAGGGTCCCTTTTAGTGCCACAGAAGCTTATTCGGTGCCTGTCGTCAAGCACCAAAGTAGTAAATTAACCGGTTTCGAGTGACGTGTAGAAATTGCAATAGTGAGCTTATTCATCCTTCTTAAGCTGTGGCACTATTCGTTATTAACATAATTTGGGGTCAAATAAACCCATATGAAGACCTTTTTTGTCAGCTTCATCCTACGTGTGTACACTTGTTGTCCTGACCCTGCCACTGTTACTTATATTCCAAGATTTTAACGTCATAACGGGCAGCATACTGTAGGTCATTATATCTGAATTCACTATAGTAACATTGCTTTTCTTGATGCTATTAAGTCTCAACAACCACTTTTTATGAACTTTAAGGATGATGAATATTTATTCAGCCGAATTCACCTAAACACACTCAGTACGTAGTAGACTGATTTCAGAGCTGACTATATTTGTCTATAACTTTGCTTCTTTTGGTAATTTTCATAGGGATCTCAAAGTATTAGACAACAAGAGCTACCTGACATGAAAACCTTGTGTAATAGGAGCTACAGGGCAATTTCTCAATGATGTGGCTACTCATAATAAATGGATTGCCAAAGGTTGATTATTTACCTTTCGTTCCCTAATAATCAGTAACAACAATCAGCATAATCATTTACTCTCACACCTCACCTTCATAATCAGACGATATTGAGTTGAAACGCCACTGAAACTGTTTCTAGATCAACTTGTCCTTATTTTCTACTGAGTTCATTGTTATACGAACTGATGTAGCCTAGATGCTTCCCTCACGAATTTAGATCAATCATTGTCACATATTTCTGAGGAGATTCCTCTACTACAAATGTGACATCAGAGCGCTATAACGAATGTCTGCTTGATTAGCCTATATATCGTTTTAACATAGACTACCCGTATTAGCAAGAGCGTAAAAATGTCAAAATCTCTTTCTTGGTAGCTGCCACGAAAAGCTTGAATCAATCTATGCTCACAGCCGGAAAACCATATCAATCCTGTTGAATTCTACGTGGCAAAAAAGATCCCACTACTTGTCATCTTGTCTTCATCATGGGGTCATCAGCAAGTGTATTTCATTCTTCTAATCATGCTGATCCCTTTTATTATCCAATATCATTTCTGAACCATATCCATCACTTAAAATGTAACTGTATGTCCTTTGCTTTTTTGGTAATAACTGATGACTGATTTGGTTTCTAAGTGTTGGATATGTGAAGTTATCAACCTTCCGAAGGCAATCAAAATCATTGTGCATTTCGGGCGACTTCATCTATCCATCTGACATCTTTCGCCAAAATTTTCTTAGATTGCTGAGAACAACCGATATACCGTTATTTTCATATCAATTGAATATTTCTCCGTTCACTTCATCTTACATTACTATCAGGACTTTTTACTTGAGAGCTTTAATTCCACTACCCTTTGAACACCTCAGATAGATGGACTTGTTATGATCCGAAGGACTCACAACCATCAGATACTTGACAGACCTTCTAAACTATTTACACAAACTAATGGGATAGAATAAGAGATGAAGTATGTTCTATGTGATTTTACTTGACTCCAACATTGATTGCTTTAGGTCCAATATTCTTAGGAGCATACTTCGGAAAGTCAGATATCCTGATAGAATAATCGGTGAGACTAGAATTTATAGATGAATCAATCAGATTTACGATAACAAGTTTTAAATTTTAGCGCGAAATTCATTCACCCTTTTGGGCAAATAGCGTCTAGGCATTAGAGCTGATGTCAGTTCGTGATGAAAACCTTAAATCTAATCCCTTACCCTAACCATCAACTGTAAATGATAATCCTTATTCTTCAAACCGCTTTATAACCCTCATTTTGCCCAAGTAATTAAGTAAACACTCTCAAGGTCACTTTGGCGTCGCTCAAAGGTCGCCCAAAAAATATAGTCTAACCGACTAATCATTGTTCCAATAAATCTTCAGGTTCTGTCATTCTACGCCTAATTCCCAAATTCCAACCCAGCGTGTACTGCACCGATCAGATACAATGTACTATGAAGAATAGATCAGCAATGAATGTTCTTTTTCATGTCACAGTATTTTTAACGTAACACGTTGCGATCTAAACTGCATGAAGAGACCTGGCGAAATACTGGGTAAGCTTCATCTTAGAACTTTTCCGACTCTAACGCTCGAAGCCTCAAGGGCTATATCTGACTTCTAACCTCAGTATTGATGCATGATTAATAACTTCAAAACATCAAAAGGTGAGACATTAATTCGTTTGAAATTTGTCGATACTAATAGACCTGATCGTATTGATATCGGTATCAACTTTACTTAGAGCCACTCAGAACCACATGACATCAACAGTCCTTCTAAGTGGATAGATAATTGAATTGAAAAAACCAATGCTCACGATGTCAAATCAGCCAGCGTTGAATGATTACCATGTAACAACATCTCAATTGAGTATCTCAAACTTTTGACTCAAACTTCAGCCTTACATCGTACTTTCGATATACATTCTTCCGATAATATAGCACAACAGTTCGTATTTAATAATAATAATAATTTATATTCTGAAAAAATGATAATTACAGAATTCACGCCAGTTTACAGGCATGATCAATTTGATATAAATAATATCATTATATGTACAGAACAAACATGTGTTATGAGTTTTAAGTTTACTAGTTCAGTAATTGTTTGGGTATTACAGCGATCCAATGTATCAGCCGGGAACATGTAATATTTCTTAACTGGACTGTCTGTTGATTTATAAACGATGTAATTAAGGTCATTTCGTGTGCCAGATCGATTTAATGATAAATATCTACAACTAGAGAAATTAAAACGAAAACAGCGAGCACGGAACAACAAAGCAGTAATTACCGAAATATGTCAAACAGATCTATCAAAATGCGTACGTCATGTGACACAGTGATATACTGTTGATGATATTCAAATTAGTTAAACTAGCTGGGGACGGTATTAACATAAAGTGATAGCAAGTTGGTGGTTTTATCCAGAGAATGCACTAATAAAAATGCCTAAACATTTAAAGTTCCTATAATAATACTTGTGGAGTGAGATACACTTGCGGGTGCTAGAGCATTCAATGCATTTTCGGAGGAGCAATATGCATCGATGCAACGTACAAATAGTGGGAGTGATTTTATCGTACGGATATGTTCTGGTAGGTTATTCCAGAGTCTAGAAAATTTACAGGCAAAGTAATTCATATCAAGAGATGATCTAGAATAAGTTTGTTTCACAAGTGCCAAGGAATTACGGGTTTCATAATGAGGAGTCTCTGCATATTGAATTACATGATTGGATGTAAAGGATAATTTATTAAGTAGTTTGAAGAAAAAAATAAGATTTAGTTTGAGTCTCCTCTTCCATAAA